CACTGGGAACCTGTTTATTTCACAGCCTCAGCTCATCTCCCTCCCGTCCCTCCAGCTGTCCCAACATCTTAAAAACAAAGCCAGCAGAAGGAGATTAGCCACCTAGAATGTCTGTGACCCTGCTGGATAAAACAGCAGCACTATCAGCTCCTTCCAAAGAAGCAGACCCTGAAGCACGATTTTTCAAACTATGCCCAGGGATTCAGGTTCAAATGCAGTATTTCTTACAGGAATTGCCTGAAAGGGGCCAACAGTCCCAGGCACACAGAGAGCCTCCAAATTTCCTACTCCCTGGCTTGAACATTAAGCAATCTGTTTACTGATCCATTTTCAATTAGAATAACAGCTCTTTGAAGTCTCAGGCCTTTCATTTCATCTCTGTCCTGTAAATGCCATAGGGTCTGGTACACAGCAGTCAGTGTGTAACTGTGGAGATGAGCAAACAAACCAACAGACACTGCCAACACATAGTAACCCAGAGTACTAACGAGAAAATCTACTTCATTCCTCAAACGGAAACACGGAAGGAAACACGTCACGAGACTGTAAGATGCAGGCTGGAGAGATGACTCCAGGGTTAAAAACACTGATGGCTCTTACAGAAGACCCAGGTTCAATTCCCAGCACCCTCATTGGATGGCTCACAACTACTTAAAATTCCAGTTCTGGGACATCTGATCTTGTCTTCTGACCTCTGCAGCCTCCTGCACACACGAGGAATACATTAATATACTCGGGCACACACACACATACACACAATTTTTATTTTAAAAATAATATGATACTACATACATACAAATTGCTTTTATGTTTCCAAATCAAGTGTCCTTTTATCGATAGGTCTTTTCCCTCCATTTCAGTTTCAGACTCCTAGATAACAGCATTTTTCAGCATTTCTTAGTCTTTTTCTATATACTAGGCATAATACAGAAGTTCTATGTATATATTCTCATTTAATCTTTATAACATTTCTATGGGTTTTTTTTCTATAGAAAAAAAGCCTTCAAACACAGAGAACCCCTCATCCAAAAAAAAAAAAAAATGCCTCTCAGCAACAGATGGGAACCATCAGAGAGAAAGTCACCCATCCAATGCGGAGAACAAGTACTGTGTAGCGCCCAGTCCCAGGTGATACACCTACAGCCCACTCCTGCACCTAGGGCCAGGGATCACAGCAGAAAAGAGGGTGGAAGATCACAAGAGACCAAGGATTTCAGAGAAACTACACCCATGAAGTCTCACCAACAGCCATGCCTAAACAAGACCTGGACGAAGACAATACCAACAGACAGGCTAAACTGAAAGGGGAAAGGTCACAAGGCCCCAACCCTAGACAAGAACTACGGGCCACCAAGGAATGCTAACAACAGGAGAAATAGTCCTCCCCCAGGGAAGAGCTCCCACAGTGGTTATCCAATACCAGATGGTCAGCTCTGAAAATATATACATGCAAGTAACATTATATGGACCAAGCAGGTTGTATTTATGTATTTAGAATAGAAGGGTAGGCAGGTAGATAGGTAGGTAGGTAGGTAGGTAGGTAGGTAGATAGATAGATAGATAGATAGATAGATAGATAGATAGATAGAACAATAATTAAAGAAAAAGAGGCCATGAATTAGGGAGGAAGCAAGCAGAGTACAAAGGGGGGCCGGAGGGGAGAAATAGGGAAAATGACGTACGTAGTGATTTCTCATTTGTATTTTAATAAATAAAGCTTGCCTGGAGATCAGAGAGTAAAACGGCTGCACTGTTCAGCCTGACAGACCAGGCAGTGGTGACTCACACCTTTAATCCCAGTAGCCTCTGTAGTTTGCCATTGAAACTGGGTGGCAGTGGTGCACGCCTTTAATCCAGCCCTAGAGAGGAATATAAAACAGGAAGGAACAGCTCTCACACAAAGTCTCATTATGAGATTCCTGGAGGCAGAATCACCATTTCCGTCTGAGGTAGAGGTAAGAGCCAGTGGCTGGCTGTTTTGCTTTTTTGGCCTTCAGGTTGAACCCAACAAGTTTTTATTAATTGTACAACAGATGTAATTAAATTTTAGAAAACTTAAAAGTATAAAAATTAGGGCTGGAGAAATGACTCAAAGGTTAAGAGCACTGGCTGCTCTTCCAGAGGACACAGGTTCAATTGCCAGCACCCATATAGCAGCTTACAACTGTCTGTAACTCCAGTGGTAGGCGGTCCAATGCCCTCACACAGATATGCATGCAGATAAAACACCAATGTGCATAAAATAGAAATAAATATTTTTTTACTGGTATTCCTCTGGATAAATAAAAAATAAATAAATAATTTTTTAGAAAAGGAAAAGAAATTAAATCCAGAATTTAAAAAAATTATAAGCTGGGTGGTGATGGTGCACACCTTTAATCCCAGCACTCAGGAAGCAGAGGCAGGCGGATCTCTGCGAGTTCGAGGCCAACCTGGTCTACAAAAGCTAGTTACAGGACAGGCTCCAAAACTGCAGAGAAACCTTGTCTCCAAAAACCAAATAATAATAATAATAATTTGGAAAACAATGCTGTGATTCTAATATTAATTAATGTTCTAATTTTATAATATTTTTTTAATTCAGGGTCTTACTATGTAACTATGACTGACCTGGAATTCACTTTGTAAACCAGGCTGTCCTCGAACTCACAGAGATCCCTTACTTCTGTCTCCAAGTGCTAGGATTAAAGACGTGCACCATTGCTCCTGGCTAATATTCTAATTTCAGTTTTAAAAAGTCATTGAGACATAGACAGTTCCCACTGAAATCTTAAATTAAATCAGAGACCCAAGAAATAAAACTATAAAATTCTTAGAAGAAAAATAAAAAGCTTTATGACTTAGGATATGGTCATGATTTCTTAGAAATAAAACTAAATGCATAAGCAACAAGACAGACTTCACCACAATCAAAAACTGGCACAGCATCATGATGAAAGAGCAATCTCCAGCATGAAAGAAAACATTTGTAAATCCCATACCTGGCAAGAGACTGGTAGCCAGGCTGCATGCTCAACTCTGGCCATTCGATGGTAGCAGAAAGACCTAGTTAACAAGTGGACAAGAGTGCCGCACACATCCGTTAACTACAGCTTCCTGTGACCCTCATGCTTCTGTCCCGGTGACTTCGGCTACTACAGGAGCCACATTCAGTAGCACCTGGCCTTGTGAGGAGTGTTCTATACATAGCCTAGACAGCAGCACCCTTTCCAGACACACTGTCTTTACAAATGTACCATTCCAGAGTGTTTAAGTGAGGACCTCTTAAATTCTTCCCTTTCACCTGAGAAATTTATATGTAACCCCAGGTATATAAATCAAACACTTACTGATAATAATTTATAAAAAAAAACTTTTTAAACAATTCTTTGGCATGTATACATAGTTTTACCATGTACTAAAGATGCACACCAGCACCCACATAAAAAGCTGAGCGTGGCAGTACACACCTGTAACCATGCTTTAGGAGTGGAGACCAGAGGACCCCTGGGGCTTGCTGGCCAGCCAACCTAATCAATATCTCCAGGTTTGCTGAGAGAAGACCCTGTCTCCAAGACTAAGATGAAAGCAAAAGAGGATATGCCAATGCCAATCTCTCACCGCCACACAAATTCATACATACATGCGAGCATGTGCACACATGCACACACACACGCATGGTGGTTTGTTTTTGAGACAGGATCTCACCATGTAACTCTGGCTGTCCTGGAACTCCCTATGTAGACCAGGCTAGCCTCAAATTCACAGAGATCTGCCTCTGCCTCCCAGTGTTTGGATTAACGGCACGTACTACAATTCCCAAAATAATGTTTTTTTAAACATTTAATGAACAAAGTTTAATTTCAAAACTCATATGTTAGTTTTAAAAAATGAAAGGACACAGTCAGGTGTGGTAGCTCATACTTATAACCCCGGTATGTGGGAGGTTGGAGGACTGTCACAAATTTGAGACTAAGTTCCAGGACTCCGGAGATATTAAATTCCAGCATGGATTACAGTACTGCAAACTGCGTGTCTGGCAGACTTCTTGCATGTGAACCCAGAAGATGGAATTAGAAGTGACTGGATCTCTTTATACCTCTTCCCAATATGGCAACATTGAATGAATCTTTAGTTTCTGCCTTTCATATTAATTTGACTTATGGAAGATGAGAGGCCAAACCTGACTTGTTGAGGCATAGGTATAATCCCAAGTCTAGTAGCAGCATGAGACCCTGACTCAAAAAAGAAAAATTAAAAATAAACCCTATCTTCTCTGTACTCCAAACTCACAGCAGGCTAAAAAAAATAAGGCTTCTTGCCATGAGTTCAAAGACTCAAACTCCACATTTAAAGTTCACCTTTCGTCAAAAATACCCTAGATTTGTGCTACAAATAATTGTGGATATATTGCAGAAAACTAAACAGTAAAAATAAAGAACGGTGCCCAAGGTACCACTCCTTTCTTTCCATACTCCCTGTACATTTTCACGCCACACGGGCTGTGTCTCACATGTTCCCTGCCAGGAACATGGAAAGGAAGGACCTGCTTCTGGTCCCAGAGGACTTCACAGTTCTCCGTGATTGTCTCCTAGGAAACCTGACATTCAGGAGGAAGGCACTGGCTCCCCCCTGCCGGGTAGCAGTTTCAACAGTGAATAGTTCAGCGTGGTTCCATTCAAAATCCGTCCCTGACCAGCATCAGGCGGCCAGCCTTTCTCTCTCTGCCACGAAGCCTACATACACTAGGGCACATTCTCTCCATCTTTGGATGGAAGTAGTCAAACCCTGAAACAAAATCGTCTGCCAACAACTCAAGGAAACCCCGAAGATGAAAAGTCCCCACCTTACAAATCCCAGAGGGTTTGCTTTGTCTCTTGAATTCCCTCGAGATGCTCTCAGCAATGAGTATCCCTTGGGCATTACATTCTGACTCTCTCTTCATCTGAAGCTTGATTCCCATGAAGCAGGAGGACGCCTGACCCAGAGACTGGGGCAAGACGCGGTGCTCTTGTACTTACCGTCTAGGACTGTCCCGTAAGCCCTGGTAACGTGGCCTAGCTCCCGCATGAAGCCCTGGGAACAGTCCCTACAGAGCAAATGTTGGCATGGTAGAAGCCGAGAGCCCTCATTGCGAAGGTCCCGTCGACACAGAGAGCAAGTCGGTGCCACAGCCTCCAGGAATACATCTGTAGAGCCGAGTGACTGCCTCGGGAAGCTCACTTCCAGGCCAGGGCCCACGTCTGCACCTGTGTCTGGGGCTTCCACTTTTCCACTGACATCCTCAGGGGTGAAGCAGCGTGTGCACCGGGCAAGTTCCACTCCCTGCAAGGGAAGCACAAAGCAGAGGGCTTTATTCTTTGGGACAGGAGAAGTTCCTGGATAGATAGAAGAAAAAGCCGCAGAGATCCATGACCCTCAGCCTCAGGCCTGCACTTGAGCCCACAGCATCCAGCATCTTCACTGTGAAAATAAATCCCAGTGGTGTTTGCTACGTTCTGTCTAGCAAGGTTTAATGGACTTCAAAAGTGCCCCGAACTGTCCGGGCCTCTCTCTAGTGCTGGGGCAAGGGTGATTCAAGTCTCCATTTGGAAAAGGAGTTGAAAAATGCCTTAGGTGTCAAATTTACATGCTTATATCAATCCTCACAACTACCCTTGGAAATCGAGACTATGACACGTTTATAAACTAAATCAGAAGGTGCCAGCTGCGGAAAATGAGGCTCTCAGAAGCAGGATAATGCGCAAGACAGTGGCAGAGCTCAGATTCAAACACACGCTGGCCTGATTCTAGACAGCATACTCTGAACTGCTGGAATGCTCTCAGGCTGAAGTCCTTGGGAAGGCTTTTTCATGAATTCTAATAATCTCTTCAATATCTTATTTTTAAATTGGACATATGTGTCTGTGTGTATTTGTAGCTACACATAAGTGCAGTTGTCTGCAAAAGCCAGAAGAGGACAACAGGTTCCCCGAAGTTGGAGTTAGCTAAAATAGCTAAAAGCTGCCTGATGTGGGTGCTGGGAACCAAACCCCAGGTCCTCTGTAAGAGTCATCTCTCCAGCCCTATTTTTTGTTTTAAGGTTTTTGAATTCATTCTATGTGTATAGGTGTTTTGTCTGCATGTATGTCTGGGCACTAGGTGTTTGCCTGGTACCCAAAGAAACCAGAAGATGAAGTCAAATCCCCTGGGACTGAAGTTACAAAGGGTTATGAGCTACCATGTGGGTGTTGGGAAATGAACCCAGGCCTTCTGGAGGAGCAGCCGTGACCTTCACCACTGAGCCATCTCTCTGGCCCTCTAAAAATTGTTTAATTACTATATCACTCTAATAGTGGTATTTTTAAAGGTATAGCTAAGGTCCAATCTAAGAGTTTAGATTAAACTCTTTTTAGATTTTACTGTTTAGGTACAGTATTGAACTTAAGATCTAGTTCACACCAGTTTTAATTGCCTGAGATTAACAAGGAGTGGTACAGACATGCCAAGCGTGCATTCTTGCCACATGGAGTTTAAATGACACTGTAGGACATTATATTATTGTGTGTTTACCAAATTTAGCCACACAAGTGAGTAGCATGTTTAAACCGCAGTGATAAATTTAGTTTAACAAAGACTACATCCGGATATGAAATTAATATTGCTAATCTGACTGTTTGGGTTTTGTAGGTTTTATCATGTTTGAACACTGCTTGGCTCTATAATCACAGAAGAGTTATGACCAAAATGAACCTGTATCTACTTTTAGATTTGTATTTTAAAAACTATTTCATTCAGTTTGGCTAGGGCTCTACAATTATGCAAGCCTGGATTTCCAAGAACCACATCCACTAAGGAAGAAGGGTACTGGTTGTATAGTCACTAGGGTTTCAGCTTTGTGCCAGGGTTACTGAAGGGCAGAGGCCAAGCAATGTGTTGCAGGATCAAAGCTCCTGCAAGGAGGCCCTGAGAGATCACTATGTGAAGCTGTAAAGGTGAAGCCGAATTTGCAATGGAAATCCAGAATGTTGGTGATTCCAGAACCCTGGAAGTTTGCCAAGGAAAGTCATAGACACTAAGTAGAGAGGTCTATGTGCTTGCTACAGGTAGGGAGCCTGAGGGATAAAACTACCCAGGTCCTCTGGAATCAAGATGATTCCAGTAGAAGCTCTACATACTGAACATGGAGCTGCAGAACGAGAAATTTGTACTGCTGAACTTCAGCTTTGGTCTGACCTTTTCTTGGTGTGTTCCATTTCTCCCTTTTGGGATGGAAGAGTCTAGTCTGACTCATGTACATTGGAATTATAGAATGTATCTTATATTTATAATGTATTTTATCGAGGCTCGTGTTTAAGGATTTGTCCTGAGTTTTATCAGAGACTTTGCTCTTTGGATTTCTGAATGATGTTGGGACTGTTAAAAACTATGGGAATATTTAGAGATGGAGGAAATGTTGCATTAGGAGATGAAAATGAAATTTTAAATGATGTGTTGAGGACCAAGAGGACAAGGTGTGGAACTGTTGTGGTTAAATTTCGTCACCCACTTGATGAGATATAAAATCACCATGGAAACACATCTCTGTGTTGAGGGTGTTTTCAGAAAAGGTTGGCTGAGAAGAGAAGACTTCCTAAACATGGGTCCAACCATGCCATGGGCTGGGGTCCTGAGCTGAATAAAAGAGAATGTGACCTGAGAATCACCTCTCTGATATGCCACCCATGCACATACTAACCCAGGAAAAAGATTGTGTTAGCATTTTATGAAAAACCTGAACTTGTGAACTCCTAAAAGGGTCCCTTCAGGGTCTACAGGTCACACTTAGGGAAACTGCTGCACCAGACATCACATGTGAACCCTGGACATTCGGGAAGGTGGGCACCATCACCAGTGAGCACTGTACAAGGTGAGAAGAGGAAGATCCACCTTGTTCTTTTCAGCGGGGGGGGGGGGGGCGAAAGGCTCAAAGGCACATCTAAGCAGTAAGCTTCTGATCTGAGAGTGAGAAACATAAGCTGAGTCCCTTCATACCCCTTTCCTCTGCGGCTTTGCCCTGTAACTTGGTCCATGTGCTCCTGACCTGAGAGAGGGAGGGAGACACACTTTTGAAGATTATACTTAAGCCAGGCACACCACATTCCAAGTCTTCCTATGTAAAGTTCTCACCTAAAAGAATTTGTGTCCAGTGTTACCAAATCTTCATTTTTCTTTTTTTCTTTTGATTTTTTGAGACAGGGTTCCTCCATGTAGCCCAGGCTGTCCTGGAACTCACTCTGTAGACTGGGCTGGTCTTTATCTCAGAGATCTACCTGTCTCTGTCTCCCGAGTGCTGGGATTAAAGGCGTGCACACATTGGTGACTGTCACTTTTCAAAACACCAGAATGTAGGTGTTTATCAGTGCTTACAACAGAGGGGATGGCTCAGTGGGTAGAGTCACTGCTGTGCAAGCACAGAGGCCTAAACTTAAATCTCCAGAACCCACAGAAATGCTGGGCAGAGAGGTCTGGGCCTAGAACCTCCGTGCTGGGAGGCAAAGATGAGCCCATCTCAGAGCTCATCGGCTAACTCAAAAAATGAGGTGGAGAAGCCATTGAGGAAATACACACAGACACACATTCATACAACACACACACAGAAAAACAAAAGTCAGCAGCTACTTCAGTCATCGTCTCTCACTGGAACCTGAACTAATAACATTGTGAAAGGTGGCTCACACCTTTAATTCCAGCACTAAGGAGGTGCAGACAAGAAGGGATCTGACTGGGTGGAGAGGGGAACATAAGGTGGGAGGAGGCAGGAGTTCATTGCATTCAGTCTGAGAACTTGTAGAGACAGGATACCCCATTCAGTCTGAGGATTTCGTAGAGGTGAGAGCCAGTGGCTGGCTGCTCTGCCACTCTATCTTTCAGCCTTCATCCCCTAATATCTGACTCTGGGTTTTTGTTTTGTTTTGGTTTTTTGAGATAGGGTTTCTCTGTAGCTTTGGAGCCTGTCCTGGAACTAGCTCTTGTAGACCAGGCTGGCCTCAAACTCACAGAGATCTAAGGCATGCACCACCACCACCGGTCATGACTCTGGGTTTTTATTATTAAGACCAATCAGACTTGTGCTGCAACTGTTTGCTTGGGTAAATAAGTTCAAATTATCATCCCAGCACAGTGTTTATGTCAGCGGTAAACTGAGTGAGAAACAGTGAGAATGCACACTCTACCAGACTGCAGAGCACACGTTTTTTGTTTTTGTCCTGGATACAATCCTGTAGTCATAGCCCTAGAGCAAGACTTTGTCATCTTTGCTCACTATTCTAGCTTTCCCTAAGCACCTGGCATCTATGGAGAGGGTCAGTACAGAATACACACCCAACCAATACTTGTCGAATGAATGACTGCATGAATCATAGTTATGTTTTCAGTCAAAGCTGAGAAAACCACATTCAAGCAGACCATGCTCTTTCTTCATTAGAGTTCAGCTAGTGGAAACAGAGCAGGGAAATGAACCCAGGCTTCTGTGTTCACAGTAATTGAACCCTGTGAAATTAAATTAAAACCTAACTAGTTAGCCTCTCTCGTTTGTACAATGATATGAACATCCTCTTCACAGTTTACTGCTGTGGACTTGAACGGGAGGGTTTCCCAGGCTGGCTTCCCGAAAGGCTTGTAGGAGGTATTTGTCAGGTGGGACAATAAGATTTAAAAACAAATACAGTCCCACACGGGAAAGAGGGGCGACTAGCAATCCGTAATCCTCAAATCGGTTTTTGCTTTGTGCTTTAGAAAACACCTGTTAGCCTACGGGTTTCCCCCAAAACTACTTGAGGGGCAAACCAAAGCTCTAACCAAGAAGTTGAAATGGAATTAGAAACCGTACCTACTGCTGGTGCACAAATTGGTACAGTTCATCTGAAAAAAACAGCAACATAAGATGAATCTCAAAATGTTCAAACCCTATAACTCAGTAATATCTCTCCTGAGATTTTATTCTAGATAAGTTATTGATCAAAAGAAAAAGTCCATTATACAAAATGTTCAGTGCAGCTTTGTCTCCAGCAAAAAATAGAGTAAGAACCAAAACACAAAAAACAAAATACACAAGAAAATGGCTTAGCACATGCTGAAGGCCAACTCCTCTTCAGCTGCTGAAAACCAATCTGAAGAGCTCAGGCAGAAGCTCAATGCTTACCTAGAAGGCTCAAAGCCCCGGGGTCAGCTCTGGCACCATGAGAAATAAGAAGAACAAATCCTCGTTAACTGGGCAATGATAAGAAAACGTCATGGAATTAAAGAAAATGCAGACTACGGAAGGAACAACATAGGACTAAGGGAGACAACTCAGCGGCTAAGAGCACACTCTGTGAAAGTCTGGGGACCGGAGTTTTGACTCCCTAGCACCCACATACTAATAAAAGCCATAAATGGCCATGCATGGCTATAACTCCAGTGTTGGGAGATGAAGATGGATGAATTCCAGGAGCTCGGTGGTCAGCCAAGTCTAGTCAAAACTTCAAGTTTCAGGTCCAGTAAAAGACCTTGTCTCACGAGAATATGGCAGAGAGGTAAACTCTTCTGATGTCCACGTATGTGGTATTCACACCCACACATGCACATACTCCATACACACACAAGGATTAACGTTCCTGTGATCACCGGCTCTGCAGTCTGCTATGTTTTTATGTAACCGTGACCTGAAAAGTGACATAAAACTTCCTGAGGCAATATGATCCGAGATGTCTATACTTTTTTAGAATTCCTTTTCATGTATTTTCCTATTATATACACATTTTATTTAATGTATTTTCCTATTACATATACATTTTAAAACTCCCTACAGAAGCCAGGCGGTGGTGGCGCACACCTTTAATCCCAGCACTCGTGAGACAGAGGCAGGCGGATCTCTGTGAGTTCGAGGCCAGCCTGGTCTACAAGAGCTAGTTGCAGGACAGGCTCCAAAGCAACACAGAGAAACCCTGTCTCAAAACACCAAAAAAAAAAAAAAAAGGAGAAGAAGAAGAAGAAGAAGAAGAAGAAGAAGAAGAAGAAGAAGAAGAAGGAAGAAGAAAAGAAAACCAACCTCCCTATAGAATAAATCTGCACTTCCAAATTTTTCTCTACTTCTCACATTTAAAAAAAGTGAAGGACTCTGGAGGCTCTTCTTAGTTTGAATTAATAGTGTCTCTCTCTCTCTCTCTCTCTCTCTCTGGGTCTCATGATGTAGCTTTGATTGACCCTGAGGGGATCCACGTCTTTGCCTCCCCAGTACTATGACTAAAGACCTGTGGTGCATGCCAGGCCAGTAGTCTCTTTTTAAAACGACAACAAAATATCTTTCCAAATGTCCAATCAAAGATGAAACAAGACAAGGTTTGGGGCTGGAAAGATGCCCCATGCTTAAGAGAGCTGGCTGCTCTTTCAGTTCCTCACTGGGTGGCTCACAACTACCTGGAACTCCAGTTCCAGGGTCTTCATCTGATCTCAGCAGATACCTGCACACATGTCATACACTCACACAATCATACACACACATAAATAAAGATAGATCTAACAGCCAGGTGGTGGTGGCACATACCTTTAATCCCAGCTCAGGATTTACTCAGGAGGCAGAGGCAGGCGGATCTCTGGATTCGAGGCCAGCCTGGTCTACAAGAGCTAGTTCCAGGACAGGCTCCAAAGCTACAGAGAAACCCTGTCTCGAAACAAACAAAAACAAAACAAATCAAAACAAAACAAAAAGGTGACAACAGATCTGAAGTGTATGTACTTCCAAGAACTGCTGATGTCTGAAATACAAAGCAAAACCAGGAGCCCAGAGAGGTGACAGAGAAAAAGGGGCCACCAGGGCACTCTTTCAGATGACAGTGTGCTTGTGCTTGCTCCCAAGACCACACGGAGAGAGGTCTGAGGTTCCCCTGCCTCACCAGGTGGCTGCTGTCTGGTGTCATCTCACTTCGCTTCATTTCACAAGTATTTTCTGAGCCCTGACCCTCTGAAGCAGCTCAAATGCCTGCGATGTCACAAGACCATGCTGTACTTCATGGAATTGTCACAAAGGACAGTTCTCATGGGTCACATTTGAGGTCAGGTCCCATCTGCGTGGGGGTTGTGGGGGGGGGAGGACGACAACCTAATGCTTTAACATCTGGCTGCTATTCAACTTTGCAGATCCAGAACTGAGCCTTTTCTGTCTTGTCAGAGCTGATGGACCTGAAGAAGCTGACTTTGCTGAAAAAGCACAGGAGCCATGAGTCAACCTTGCGAGGAAGAAAGGGAGCTGCCTAGAAAAGCCACAGCTGGGCAAATGCTGTCTCTACTCTAGAGATCAAGCTATTGCTAAGACTTCTGGGTGAGTACAGAAGCCAACAGTGGGTCCTAGACTCACTCAGGAAAGGGTCTGTTCAGCCAGGTGCCCCGAGGAGAGGATGTAGCTTCTCTATAGCCAGAGGATTGGCAAACTATTCAGAAACAGGATTGTATCTCCAGCCCTTGCCATGACTTGGACCTTGATCCAAGGTCATTCAAGTTCCTTTGCATTCCCTAGACTCTGCCTCGCTTACCTCCATTGACAGGTCCTTTTCCCAATAGGAGTTCTAAGTAATTTGACTCATCACCTGCACACTTGACAGACAGCAGAAGGTCTTTAAGATCTTGTTCCCGACTCTCAAACCCCTCTCTTGCTGGTCACAGGTAGTACATGACTAATGCCTGTGAGATGAAGGGGAGATGAAGATCATAATGTCGTGAGGTCAGAAAGGGAGGGGTCACTGAGGTAAACACTGGGAATCTAGAGAGAAAAAGGGAAGTTTAGGCCTAGGCCCTGTATCTCACCAACTATATAACTTTGTCTGACAAGTCACACAATTCTTTTGTCTTATGCATAAAATGAAACTATAGTCCTAAATCCTCAGGCCAATACATTTTGTAAATTTCCAAGCACTCTGAAGATGTTGGGGCTAATACCACTGTGGCCCGGAGTGCTACTGGATGTAGCAGAATATTAAGGTAGTTCTTAAGAGTTCAGGGAAAAGCAGGGCGGTGGTGGTGAGTGCCTTTAATCCCAGCACTCCAGGGAAGCAGAGGGAGGCAGATCTCTGTGAGTTCAAAGCCAGCCTGGTCTACAAGAGCTAGTTCCAGGACAAGCTTCAAAGTTACAGAAAAAACTTGTCTTGAAAAACCAAAATAAATAAATTAATAAATAAAAATAAAGAGTTCAAAAAAAGTTGGTCATGCTGGCACATGCTTAAAAATCTCAGAATATGGGAAGTTGAGACTGGAAGATCAAAAGTTTAAGTTTAGGGAAATCATGGCTGGTACCAGAAAACTAGCTACCCAGGGCTAGTGAAGACAGGGGTAGTTGTAAACGTTTGACCTTTTACTCACAGATAAGAATGGTCCTCAGCCCTCTTTTGCATCAGGCAAAGAGAGACCGATATAGGAAACCGCAAACAATCAAAATAGAGTTGTGGAGTCCAGTCCCACTGAATACATCGATAAAACAGCTCCCACTCCTATGGCTCAGGGACCATTGCAGAAGAGGGACAGAGAGCAGAGGCTTTGCTAGGAGAGTGTCTCCCAGGAATGGCAGAAGCTACACCCATGAAGTCTCATCAATAAGGCTGTCTACACAGGAGCTAAATAAGGGCAATAGATGCACTATTATAGCCCAAGTGAGGAAGTTATAGACCACCATGTCTTTTTTTTTTAAGATTTATTATTTATTATGTATGTAGTGTTCTGCTGCCTATATTCTGCCTGCGGGCCAGAAGAGGGTAACAGGTCTCATTACAGATGTTTGTGAGCCACCATGTGGTTGCTGGGAATTGAACTCAGGACCTCTGAGCTCTTAACCTCTGAACTCTTAACCTCTGAGCCATCTCTCCAGCCCCAGCCTATCACGTCTTTTAAGAGTGTAATTCCAAAAGTCAGGAGGCTCAGGCACGCCAGCCTTGGCTACAGAGTAAGACCCTGTCTCAAAACTTGCAAATAAAGATTAATCTTGAGGAAATGGTATAACTAAAACCAAACTGCACAGATTGTAATGGATTAAACATTGAACAAGAGCCAGGTGGTGGTGCATGCCTTTAAATCCAGCATTTGGGAGGCAGAGACAGGCAGATCTGAGCTCCAGACCAGTCTGGTCTACAAAATGAGTTCCAGCATAGCCAGGGCTACACAGTAAAATGCTGTCTGAAAAAGCAAAGAAACAAAAAGTATATACACACAGAAACAAACCAACAACAATAAAAAAAAAAAAAACAAACACTGAACAAAGAAGCTAGCAAATGGACAAGCTTTCCACTGCACGCTCTGGGGAGTTTGGCTGAAGAAAGGAAAAGGGTCCTAACAGAGATAAGGAGGATCTAGGGTATTTTGGCTAGAATATTCTTTAGCGGAACAAGACAAAAAAAATTAACAGATTTAGGGGATTGAATCTTGTGCACACACAGGGCACTTGGAGCACTTTTGAACGCTTAATAAACATACTACACACTAGGAACTCATGGATTTAAAGAGAAAAACAACCAAACAAAAACGGCCAGTCCCTAAACCTTTAGAAGTATTTGGGATCAACTGGGAGACAAATTACTTGGTAATGAAGAGAGTTACGTGCAAGATTGTGTGGTGGTTCAAGGAAACAACTGACAAAACAGGTCCAAGAAGGCCCACACCGGAAATGCTTGCATCAGGAGCACACTGGGCTGGGAACCTCGGATCCCAGTAAGAGCGTATCAGCCGGGTTTTGAAGAAAACTTAAATGTGGTGTTTATACAAAATATTTACAAAATCTAGATTCCTGAAGCACAGCAGGTTGTTCAAACTTCACAGGACGACTATAAAGACAGGACAAGAGGCAAGGAGAAGGGTAGTGCCCACGCAAGTAAGGGCAGAGGCCGTGAAAGCAGGTTCACAACGGCCGGGAGTCAGCAAACAACAAAACCGTAACAGAACAGGGTGATCTGAACGCTCCGCCTGCTGGATTAGCTCCGGGACGCCGGCGCCGGCAGGAAACCCCGCCCTCCTACACGGAAAGCAAGCAGCTGGCGGGCGCCGGAAGCCGGTGACGGCGCAGCCCCGCCCAAGGCCAGCCTCCTGGCCGGATATGATGCAATCGTCCCGCCCCCACACTTGCTACCTCGCGATACTTCGCGAGTTCCTCCCTCTTTCCTTTCTGCCACCGCCATGGTAGGTCTTCCTTTCTTGGCCTCCGTGTCTTCGCGGCTGTTCGGAGCTCCTCTTCTCTACATCTCAGCTGCTTACCCTGATCTTAGTGGGTCTCCGTGGCTACGCGTAGCCTGCTGGGCGGGGGATGGCACGCATGGGTCTGGGGCGAGGAGCCTGGGGCCGCGTGTTCCAGCCGGGGCTCGGATCCCTGAGACACGCGGGCTTGGGCGTCCGGGCCGGCCCCGTCGGTAACTTCAACCTTGCTGAGTACTCCAGAAGGCAAGTCCTTGCTAGCAGGCATATTTCAGGCAGCAAGCGTTACCCACCCCTGCCTACCCTTTTCTTAGGCCTAATCACTTTGCTGTTTTTCCCATATAGCCATCCAGACTGAGGAAGACCCGGAAACTCCGGGGCCACGTGAGCCACGGCCATGGCCGCATCGGTAAGTGTGGGCCTCTTTCGTGGTAGACCTTTGGGGCTGTGTTTCGGATGTTTACTGAAAGATTGAACAACTTAGCCGCGAGTAGAGGAAAACGTATTTGTTGCCAGTCGGGTTGAACCGCAGTTTGCCTACTTAGACTTTCTAGTGTAATTTAAGATAATTTTATATTGGTAGTGTTGTGAAAGTTAAGCACAGCGCTGTGATGTGGAAAGTCGAAAAAGTGACCGTCTAGAGAAGGCTGATAGCCATGTAGCTTTGCATGTTTGCAGGTAAACATCGCAAGCATCCAGGAGGACGCGGGAACGCTGGAGGCATGCATCATCATAGGATCAATTTCGACAAATAGTGAGTGTTTCTTGGAGGTCGTTTTTAACAGACAGCGGCGGCTTTGGAGGTAGGGACAGAGAGGGTAACCTAGAACCTTCTGTACTTAGGTTACTGCTAGCTTTAGCAATTTGGAGTATCTGAGAGAACCTGCCCGAGGCTAGAGTCACGCTCAGGTATTGATTGTTGCCTTAGTGTGCTAGAGTCCTCGAAGAATAACTGCTGACCTTATTCACTGGCTGTGGTCTTTCTGACACGGTCAGTCACCAGGTTAGTGACACGCATAAGAGTGGAGGTTCGGTTGGCATTTTATCCAGCCATTAGAGGATGGCGTTTAGGGATCCGCTTGAAAGGGGTGCTAGTGAGTGACCTGACTTTCAGCTACTGAAGATCTAGTTAAGTGTGTTTCGAGTTTCTGCTGTGTCAAAGTTTACGACGGTGAAAAGGAAGAGAACCTCAAAGATGAGCTTGCGGGGAGGGAGGCAGGCTCTGAAGGTGCTTGCCTTTCTCTTCCCAGTCATCCAGGTTACTTCGGGAAAGTTGGTATGAGGCATTACCACTTAAAGAGGAACCAGAGCTTCTGCCCGACTGTCAACCTGGATAAACTGTGGACGCTGGTCAGTGAGCAGACCCGGGTTAACGCAGCCAAGAACAAGACTGGAGTTGCTCCCATCATTGACGTCGTGCGATCGGTGAGTGAATTGACTTGCCCCTTATCCTTAAGGGAACTTGTAATTTTATCCTCTTTATCTCCTCTGGAGCCAAACCTATATATATTTGGCATTGCCGATTAGAGAACCCTCATTTTAGTAGAATTGTTGGAGGTAATTAAATTGGTTCCAATGGGCACTTGTCCCCCTCTCTTTGGCCCTTACATGTGGAGAGTTCAGAGAACACATTCATCAAGTATTTGCTTTCATTTCAAACAAATATTAGCGATCCTTTCAGTAAATAAGCTTTCTCATTTTTATGCTGATTCTAACAGGTTTGGTTTTAGCATGAGCACATAATTGATTCTTAATGGTCAGTTGGTAAGGCACAGGTTAAAGCCCCAGTGTTCATTCAAGGCCCTGTATAGAGAAGAGTGCTCTTCCCCCATCACAGCTTAAGTGCAGAGACCCACATCATAGGTGTGTAGCCATAGTTCCATTCCCAGCCTATTTAGTGGAGGTAGCTGGGGAGTTGTGTGTTTAGCCGAGACTAGAGTCACATCCCGACATGGTGGTTGTCCTGGTGTGCTAGAGTTCTCGAAGAGAATCTGCTGGTCTTGATTCACTGGTAGGGGTCTTCAGTGTCCCTGTTAGTGCCCAGATCAGAAACATGTCCTACCTGAGGCCACCCATGGTAGTGCATGCTTTAATCCCAGCACTATGAATGTGTTGGTGGATCTCTGAGGTCCTATCTACATTTGAGTTCCAAGCCAACCAAGGTTACACAGTGAGACTGTCTCAAAAAGGAGAACAAGTCCTACCTACATCTTGGGGTGTTGAGCATCTGTTGTAGTGTATTAAGAATATTTTTTCTCTTATAGGGCTACTACAAAGTTCTGGGCAAGGGAAAGCTCCCTAAGCAGCCTGTCATCGTGAAAGCCAAATTTTTCAGCAGAAGAGCTGAAGAGAAGATAAAGGGTGTTGGAGGTGCCTGTGTTCTGGTGGCTTGAAGCCATTCAGGGAGGACAATTAAATGCTATTTTCCAAGTGGTCTGAGTGTAGGTTTGGTTTCATTTCTATGCATACTTGTCAGTATACTGGGACCTGTCTAATAGGTCCTAGGAAG